CAGAGCTGAGGTAGGGCTGATGGATGGAAGCAGGTCCTGATTCAAATGCCAGATATCCAGTCTTCTCTCTAAGGGCTAGTATATTTTATTGAATAAGTGCTTCTCAATTTGTTATATGCCCTTAGGTCAATTTCAGAGATTTAAAGTGATGATGATTTAATAATGTTCATAAGATAAATAGTTGTTCACTGGGAAGAGTCTCTGCAGAACTTCTTTCATAGCCATTCTACCAACAGAAGTATGAATTGCATTTTTTTCATGTAATATTATTTCTTGGGTATATTTTGTATAGTTCCTGTATATGACCTGTAATCATTTTCCACAAGGAGTCCTTGTTCCTTTTAATGGGAAGTGGTATGTAGAGATCACAGTTTGCTCTTGGTTACATGACTGTTTCTAGATTATTTCCATTTATGCAACTAGAAAATTCTTTTTTTTAAAGGGATCATATTGGATAACCTTATTCCCAATAATAAATACAATAACTTGTCCCAACACACACATATAACACCATCATTACCACCAATCATAGAATAATGAAAAAAGACTCTCTAATATTGTTTTGCAGTTATTTTTGTCCTTAGAACCAGTGACATAATGACAGTGAAGTACAGTCAAATAATATGTTCTAAAGTGATGAGGAATAGTCCTTCTCAGAGTGTTTAAGGCCACTAACTATACACACAATCATCTTTGATACTTAGGGATCATTTAATTTCTTGTTCATTCAAATTATGTAAAAATATTTACATGATTTCAAAACTATATCTACAGCAAAATATATTCAAAATAGTTAATTTTTGGTCCTGTCTCCTTCAGATTGTTATGTTTCTCTACTATAAGTCATCATTTAATAGGTTTTATTTTTTCCCTCCATTTCTTTATTTCTTTTTTCTTTTATACATTTTTTACATCATTTTTCATTTTTGCACAATATATGCATTTTCATCTTGGTTATAGTCCCCATACAATCCCCCCCCCTTGTAATTTGCAGCAACATGGATGGAGCTGGAAGGGATCATGCTCAGCGAAATAAGCCAGAAAGAAAAAGAAAAATACTGGATGATCTCACTCATAGCAGGAATTTAGAAAACCTAAATAAGGGACCAGGAAAAAACCTGATTATAATAAAGTAAAAAATCAAAATCAACAAGCAACTATAAACCAGAGACACACTATCGGGGGAGGGAGGGAGTAGATTTTATTTTCTTTCAGTGTTTTATTAAGAAAATTTGCATAAGCACATATTTATATCACTTTTCTGGATATGTCACCATTACAGAATGCATTTTTTTCCTGTAAAAATATTCCTTGTTTTCTGTAGTTTATTATCTAGTGTTAATTTTTGCCTCCTTCTTCATGAATGATTTGTGAATTTAATAGATTTGTGTTTGTGTGACAGAGTATATGAGAAAATGTGAAATTTAGTATGCATGCTGAGTTATATGAGTGTGTAAGTATGTGAGTGTAATATGTCCTGTGAATGTACTCATGTATGTCAGAGTATTTATGTGTTTGTAAAAGGAGTATGTAGGGCCTCCCCTGGTGGCTCAGTGGTTGGGTGCTGCAGCCTCTGCAGCACCGGTTTGATCCCTGGCCATCGGCGAGGGTCCCACATGGCGAGACGGACCTCTCCTGCTGCCCACTGCTCCCCTCAGCAGTGTACTTCGTCAGTCTGCTTGTTCTGCTTCCCATTCTGGCTCTGGTGAGTTCTCTCCCCATCCTGCACTTCTGACTGTACCCAGTGCTTTTATAAATAAATAAATAAATATTTAAAAAAAAAAAAAGAGTTTGTATATGCATGTGGGAGGGTGTGTAAATATAAGATTATTTTCTATTGTATGAGCATGTGTGTAGAGAATGTGTGAGTGATGATGTGAGTGTGTGAGAATACTCTAAGTTCTATGTGATTTTGATTCATGTGAACAGAGAAATATTTAAGTGAATGAGTGTGTAAGTATGCGAGAATAATGGATATTGTTTGAAAGTGAGTATGTGTGAGTGTGTGGTACTTCAGGGAGCCCAGCAAGTGAGCTGTGGACCCTGGTCTCTCAGGTCCTGCTGCAGCCAACTCTAGAAGCCTCACACTCACTCCTCTCTTTCATACATGTTGACTGCTGAATGATAGTCTGATTAAGTTAGGGGTTAGAACATTTAAAAAACACAATGTCAGAGTCATGCAATCTAGCTAAGATGGCCAAATATGTCTTCCTCTTTAAAGCAAATATATAATTTAACCTTCATTTTTATTTCTGAAATTTTTATTTACCTTTGATGATTAATTTAGTATCATTTTAATTTAGAATTTGGGATCAATAAATGTTGCAATCATTAACCACCACTATGGTAAATTTTGATACTTTCATGAGCTACTCAATGCTTTTAAAATTAGCTTGAGATCGGACACCTCATTTCACCTATGTGCTGATTATAAGAGGGTGTGGGCCTCCTGGCTGGCACAGTAGGTTGTGGGCAGTGCTGTGAAGCTGTCCGCAGCATCAGCAATGCAGATTTGATTTCCTGCCAGCCAGGGAGATTCTCACATGGTGTGGCAGACCTCTCCTGTCTCACCCGCACTCCCCTCAGTGGTGCTTTTGGTCTGGTGCCTGTTCTGCTCCCTGCTCTTTCTCTGGTGAATCCTCTCACCATCCCGGGCCTCTGACCTGTACCCCAACTCTTGTATAAATAAATAAGTCTTTTAAAAAAGTTTATAAAAAAGAGGGTGTGAGTTAAAGATGTGTGTGCATCAGTACCTTGAATATCCCCAAAATTCTCTCCCTACCCCACTACAAGATTATTTTGTCCTACTTTGCATTCTTTTGTTCTCTTTTGTTTCAGTTAGAATGAAGCGGTAATCTCTAGATGGCAAATATTTTAAGTTTATAAAAATCTATAAATTTCACATAATTTAATTCATTCTCCATTAATCTAAGTATACTTAAAAATAAGAGAACATTTATCTGTATCAAAGTAAACATAAAAAAAAATCATTACTGTGCATTGAGAAGTTTCCCATGTTGTGGAACTTTGTTGATCCTAAATTTAACTAAAAATACAGCTATGCAATGCAATGCATTGATTGTTAAAGAAAAAATGTTGTGAGACTGTATCTTTAAAATAATAGAAGCAGGAATTGCTATGAGGTGTTTGACTAAATTTGTATGTGACCACTAATTTGTATGTGACTACAGTGAAATTGTTCTGGCAGCCTCTGTTCTTAATAGCAGGCCTGTTGAATTCTTTTTTTGAGAGTGAATTTCACACCCATCCACTCTGTTTCTTTCTCTTTTTTTTTTTTTTGTTCAACTCATCCCTGAGTATTTTGAGCTATCAATAGTTGTGAATCTGAGCCTCTCCTGTTGGCACAGCAGTTGAGAGCTGGGCTGCAAAGCTTCCCACAGCCTTTGCCGCACTGGTTCCATCCCTGGCCGCTGGGAAGGGTCCCACATGGCACGCAGACCTCTCCTGCCACCTGCTGCTCCCCTCAGCAGTGTATTTCGTCATTCTGCCTGTTCTGATCCCCGCTCTGGCTCTGGTGAATTCTCTCACCCTCCCGCACTTCTGACTGTACCCAGTGCTTGTGTAAATAAATGAATAAATCTTTAAAAAAAATAATAGTTGTGAATCCTCTGCAGCGGGGATGCCCTTTGCCATTTGACTTTTCAGTGCCCAGTGCCCGTAGTGCTTGGGAGAGGTACCTGGGCATCTGTAAACACTGGCCTGTTTGCTGGCTGTTACTGATCTAGAGGACGGAGAAGTGAAGGGACATGGCTCAAGTTGTTTTCCCAAAAAGCCCTCTGTGTTTCTGCATTTTACCTTCTGTGCAGGGAGGGAGTGTGTTTGCAAAGAAATACAAAGAAGCTACCCTGGGAAAGGTCCTAGTTGTGGTTCAGCTCTCCATGTCAGAAGCCCCACCTGCAGGCACTAACCTTGAGTCTTGGGGTTTCATGGTTTCTTAAGGATTTTGCTTTTCTTTGAGACTAGATTTCATGTTCCTTTTAGAGTAACCTCTGTTTCATCCTGGAGTTTGTGTGTACAAGTCCTCTTTGCATCTGATTGCAGTTAATATCATTGTGAGATCTTTTAGCCCATCTGCCATCGCTGGCCATCCCTTCTGCTGGCTGAAGACTATACACTGAAATGTTTTTAGTCTTCTGTGTCTGCATAAGAACGGGAAATGAGTGTTACTGGCCCCAGGAGGCCACACGCTTCCCTATCCTCTAAATTTTTCCCTAACTCTGGCTTTACTTTTCAACAAAACTTAGCTGGTAGCCAAGAAAAATACTTTTAAGAACACCCCTTCAAAACTGAAAGGGACAGGGATCATAAATTTAAAAATAAGTATAATGAAGCAGGAAATCTGGTCTTCTGCCTCGGCCTCCCCCATCACCTGTACAGAGCCCTTTTGAGCAGAGGGTGGCAGTTCATGTCCCCACATGCTCTTCACACATCAGCTTGAGTGTCCCCGCACCGCCCCCAGAGGCACGTTTCTGGATGTTGGGCATGGTGCATGTTTTAGAGGCAGAAAGATCCTTGGCCTTGACTTGAGGCCTCTCACTCAAACCTGAGAGGAAAATTTGTGAGTAAGGCTTGGTTCCCCAAAGGAGAGAAAATGAGAAGGCACTTCCTATCCATTAAAGTATCCAAAACATTGCCGGGGGAAGTTAAGCCGGTCCAGATGCTAAGCACGTTATGTCTAAAGAAGCTCAGAAACTCTGTAGACTGCCAAAAACATGTGAGGGTCGTACTTCATCCAGGCCATTCCAGTTGGTTCCATGAACAAGCAGCAAACTAGCTTGTAGGGATCAAAAGCTAAACTCAGGCCAGGGTGGCTAGCTGTTTCTCATTATTCTGGTACATACAAGGAACATTCTGGAAAAGATATGGGTAAGAACCAAGTAGTCCAGAGTGTTTCCTCCAGAAGGGAGAGTTACATCAGGAGGAAAAGCTCACCATCTGGAATGTAGGGACAATTCAGTGTTCCGTGAGCTGGCCTTGAAGACGACATTGTGAAGAGAAAGGCCAATGAATCAGTAAAGCAGTACAAATCCATGTTTACTATTGTAGTAAAACTAAGGATTCTAAAATGAACAAATGCAGAAGTAATAGCAAAAACACTTCTTCGGCAACGTAATAAATGAATTAGCTATCAAAATATCATCCGGTATCATGGACAAAACACCATTACACTTATTTTTCTGTTTTCTTCTTCTTAGTTATGAAAACATACTGCAAGTTCTACAATCTGATGGCAGGAAAAGCAAGAACTGAAACGTGCCACACAGGAGTGCGGAAGCAAGCAAGCTGCAGTGAGCTGCTGTCTAGCTACGTGGGTCTGGATTGTGAGAACAGCTGAAGGTCAGTCTGTTTCTCTCAAGGGTATTTCATATCATAAAATATAATATAAAGAAGTACTAAGTTACATTAAAAAAAAAACCCTCAGTCATCCTACATTCATACCTACGGGATTATCCAGATTCATTTCCTTACCAAGGAATAACCCCTTCATGATAAACTTATTGAATCTACAGAGCATGCTGTTCATAGAAACCTTAAAGTTTTCATTTTCAAAGGCAGAAGTTCAAATCATTTTTTCCTTTCTAAAAAGTTAAGCCATGCACCTTCTCAGAAGGAGAATGTTTTTATTTCCTTTAACCTTTTATTTAACAAGAGCTAGAGCAGGATCTGAACCAGGGAGCCTGAGTGCATCAGGTCCATCACAAAACCATCTTAGAAAGATGTGGCAGAATCCTGACAACCACAAAAGGTATCCGCTTTCCTTGTAGCAGCCGGCACTCGTATTCCTCTTAATTAATGCTTTTCATCAGAAGAAATGACGACCTTGGATTCCTGCCTTAATTGAATTGGTGCTTACAGTGGACTGTATCGTGTTCAAAGACTACAAGATTAGATATTCATTGGTGCCGGGTTTTAATGTGGAGCTTTCTCTGTTCAGTATTCACTACAGTTGAGTGGATTTTGGGGAAAAATCTGTATTGTATTTGTGTAAAATTACAAAATATCAGTGGTCTAGATCTGATGTTATACTCATATGTTTTCCCTAATTTTCTTTTTATTACCCTTTGCATAATTGTAAGGCAATACAGCCTTCCAATTATAGGGACCACTGACAAACATAAACAGCAACAAGCAGCAGTGGGCACACATTTCCTACAGTACGTGCCATGGCGCAGTTCCTCAAAAATGCACCCGCAACTTACTCACAATTATAGATGTCACAGGAACAGGGAAACAGATCCCAAGGAAAAAAAAGATGATGGCTGAAGCTACTGGCCAATCTGTGAAAGTGAGCCCATGCGGTGAAATGAGAAAACAAAAAGTATTCATGGTTGAATCTATTGGCCACATTGCTAGGGTCAAAAATCTAACCATCTAGGGCCAGATTCAATAAAAATCTGTCTGACTTTCATGCCAAGCCATGCAGGCCTGGAAAAATCAATTTTCTGGAACTTGTAAAGTCTTCCATAGTCAAGGCAAAGTCAGCATTCCTCTCCATTCGTACTCTCAGGGGGGCTGGGAGACGCTCAGGAGGCCTGGGTCAGCCACAGGACTTGGCTGCTTTGAGCAGGTTCTAAGAGAAATGTGCAGACAAGAAAAAGAGTGAGGCGCATGAATGCTGCCCATTGTCAAATGCTGCCCATTTCCATGCCTAGCACTGTCTGTTGTCACTCGTTCATTCATTCACTCATTCATTTTTTCATTTATTCATCAAACATTTGAGGGGGTCCAACCCCATGCCAAGTGTCATGCTGTAGTCTGGGGAAATCTGTATAAAAACTTGTGGTTCTTGTCCTTATGAGACAATAATAGACCAGGTACATACATAGGGTCATAAAGACCCTTTAAGTAAATGTCGAGGACCTGATGGGAGCATGAAAATAGGGAACTAAGTGTGAATGGGTGAGAGTCTGTCTAGGAAAGCTTTTCCAAGGGGGTAATAGGAGGGCCATCTTGAGATCTGAATGTAGAACAATGGCAAGGAGATAGATGCACATATTTGACTAGTAGCATCAGCGGAAAAGGTGTGGTGGAGAGTGTGTGTGTGTGTGTTCTGCGTGTGTGTGTCTGTGTGTGTATGTGTGAAAGAGAGAGAGGAGAAAGAAGAGGAGAAGGGAGAGAGAGGGAGAGGGAGGGCACTCCCAGGGATACAGTAAATGGGAAAGAGTTAGATGGACTGAGATGTAAAGTCAAAGTTACCCATGTTTCTAAGTAGTGAAGACGCCTGTTATCACTGTATTTTAGAAAGTATTTGAAAAGAAATGAACTAGAACAAAGAGAAGCTAGAGACAGGAGCTGGATTAGGAGGTCACTGAAGGAATCGAAGTGAGAAGTGAGTGATGCATTTAAAAAGCTTTAGATTGTAACCCATGAAACTTGGGTCTGAGTGGTTGGGTGGAGAGATGGAGGCAGTTATGGCAAGGGGCAGATCCACGCATCAGACTAGTGAATGTAGAACAGGGGCAAGTGTAGAGAGCAAGCTAATAAAATGGAATGTGTGTTTGTAGTTGGAAGGGTTGATAAGCAGATTGGAATATCATCTTAAGTTGAAGAGAAATTTGGGGTCATCAGTCTGTGGTGACGGTGGTGTGCTAGGGTATAAATCCTTTGGTTGGGTATAACCCTAGGGTATAAACCCTTCTCTTTGGAAGAACCAAAGAGAGGAAATTGAGAAAAATGAGATAAAGTTTGAGGACAAAGTCCTTCAGAGTACTAGGGTCAACTGAGATGGTGGAGAAGCTCAGAAAATACTGGAGAGGGGAATGGAGAGAGGAGATTCAGCAAATGAGATGGTCCTTGGAGGTAAGAAAGGAGACAGTTCCAAGAAAGGTTAAGACTATCAAGCAAGATAAAGAATGTGTAAGGTCCTCAAAGGGCCCTGGTTTGAGGCTCAGCGACAAGCAGTCCTATGGCATGCAGATCTATGGAGGCTGACTTTCGGGTCATACACACAAAGGAGAAATGATCAGGAAAGCATTTCAGAACCTGTCAAATTGGGCAAGCTGGTTATCAAAGCTTCTTGAATCTTCCAGTTATTCGTGGAAGGTAGTCTTTTGTGTCCTGCCAGTCCAGGAAAGCCCCGCAAGCAGAATCATTAGCCTCATATATCTCCAAGCTTAACTCCTGTAATACAGCATAACTGCTTTTTATAATATAAAAATGACTTTTCCTGGTTACCTGGTTCAGGCCCCAAGTCACTGTGCCATCTAGTTACACTGCTGGTATAGAATGGTGTCATAAGACCATGCAAGTAGATTGGGATTTGCTGCTCTGGAGGAGATTTCTTTTTGTCATTTTGCCATATTGGATATGAAGATGGCAAAAAAAAAAAAAAAAAAAAAAAAAACCCACACCCAGAGTAAACTGATGATATGGCATCTGGGGACTAATCTGCATGTGTTCTGGATTTTTAATAGCAAATGCTTTCAGCTTATTGGTGCTGAAGTTGTCAGCGTTCCTTCCACATCTCCTAAACTTGCTCTTTTTTTAAAAAAAGATTTATTTATTTATGCATACAAGAACTGGGGTATAGGCCAGAGGTGTGGGGGGAGGGGGTGAGAGGATTCACCAGAGACAGAGCGGGGAACAGAACAGGCAGATTGCCTGAAATACACTGCTGAAGGGAGCAGTGGGTGAGACAGGAGAGGTCTGCTGTGCCATGTGGGTCACCTCCCTGGCCGGGGATTGAACTCATGCTGCAGTGGCTGCAGATAGCTTCACATAGTGCTGCGTCTTAACCCCTTTCACCACCAGGAAGGCCCCATGTGCTCTCTCTGTACCATTGCCAATTTCCTACTTCAAGCAACTGTGACTCTGCCTGAGAGCTTTTTCTGCTGCAAAGTTTCTTAGCCCATGGTTGGGATAGACCAGGAATGCTGAGGAATCCATGATCACTCACCAGGAACAATCCTCAAACAAAATCTAACAGGAACTGGTGTGTAAATTCTGCAGTTCCCTTGCCCCTGGGGTGGGACTACTCTGAGGCATGTTCAGCCTGGCCCCCCCCAGTGGTACATAGTAAAACACACTTGATCTACACCCTTCACTTTACTTGCTGCTTTCCCTTTCCTGTCTCATTTTATACCCCACTGCAGGTGATTTCTGAGACTGCTCCTGTTAAATTAAGTACTGACACTTGAATTCTTATCTCAGATCCCATCAGTGGGGAAATCCAACCAAGTTCAAAGTCAAAACACTCAAAGGTATTCAAGCTGGTACATTTAGGACCCACACTGCCAGATATAGCAAGAGTAAATTTCTGCCACATACAGCAGAAGTAAATTTCTCAACACCAGAAGAAAAGGTACATTATTTTTCTATTACTAAGCTTAGATTCTATCTGGTATCTCATTTCATCAAGTAACAAGAGCTTAACCAACATTATAGTCATGGGTGATTCAGTCCTCTCCCATCTCTACTTGTCCCTCTGGGGTTATATTTAAATTCCAGGAAACTCAGTTGGCATCAGTGTCCTGGGATAGGAGCTGAGGCCTTGGCCCACATCAGGCATTGTGACTACAGTTGCTGAGCAGAGCGCTTGCTTGAACTTTCCTGCTCAGCCTCCCTGCTGGTAACTTCCATAACATGTGGGCAGCCTCATCTGAATTTCTCTCCTCCTGTCCCACAGCTTTAGCTCTGTTCTAGTCTCCCTGCTCTTCGGGCCTCTTTAAATTCATCTCTGTAAGGGTCCACATATCTGCAGCCATGTGGTTAAATAACTGGTCATTTTCGGAGTCTCTGGGGTTCTTGACATGAGCTAAGGCACCCACTAGTTCATGAGCCTAAATACCATGTGTGGCATTTTTTAATTCTGCTAACTTCATCATGCCAATGAGTCAGGAGAACTCAAGATCTAAATCTCCTCAGGCCCCACTTGGAAAGCAATGTCCAGACAGAGCAACTCTCTATTCTTCCATCTTTCTTTATCTCTTTGCCCTGCCACCAGCAAGTCCTGCATTGGACTATGGGCAGGTCAAGTTAATGTCCTCCTCTCTCGAGAGCAATGCTAAGCCACTAACTGATGGGAGTTGGGGATAAGTCTCCAGTTTCTTGGAAGCCTCTGGTGGGACAACTCAATCATGTTTGACTCATTTTGAGCTGTGTTTTGTTGGTGTGAAGTCTGAGTGTTCACAGCAGCAGTGCACTGATTAACCTCCTCTTCGTTGCATGATCTCCTTCTCTGCCTTGCATCTCACTCGAGATTCCTGGGATCACTTGTTAGATCAACTACCTACATCCAAGTCTTTGTTTCAGGGTTGCTCGTGTGATTATCCATCCTACGATGTAGCACCCCCCACCTTTAGATCTTGCAAACACAGTTGTCCATGCCCACACTTGCTGTTTGCTGCAGGAAAAGTGAAGTTGGGTTTGTACCTGTGGGAAACAGATGTCACTGACACTGAGCAGCCAGAATGAGCGATGTGTTCACTTAAGCAAAATGCAAATGCTGCTTATGAAGGCAATGAAACTGCTTACCAGAACATCCCAAAGAGTTTACTTGGAATTAAAAGGTATGCTCCTAAAGTCTGGGAGGGACCATGATGCCAGGGGCAGGGGATGCAGTGAGAACCTAGTCAATAACTCTTGCAGAGGTGAGGTGGGATGGGGACAAAGTGTGTGTGTGTGTGTGTGTGTGTGTGTGTAGAAGCATTTCATAGTGGAAATACATGAAGACAATTTAGACACAGAACTAAGTCAACATACATAATAAGCTGATTTGTGAGACTTTTCCAGGTCAAAAACCTCTTTGTTCTAATTCAGGGAGGAAGCTAGCCACAGAGATCAAGAGTAATTGCAGAAGCAGTGCGAGGCTAACAGCTTCCTGTTTCATTTAACCTAAATTTAGGAAGGAGGCAGCAAGGGGCTAGAATAGCAGCCTGAGCATCACCATTCTCCCGTCCAGGAATGGAGACCATCTGTCCCCCCGGGCGGTCCTCCTCCAGTAGTCCTGCCTCGTTTACCTTGAGGGCAGCAGGAGTGCTCAGTTGTTTCCCATATGGAGGGCTGGTGCTGGGAGCCAGGGCAGACCCTGCCATGGGGAGTGGGAAGGCTCCCTGCCGATGGAAAGCACTGGCACTCTTGCCACCCAAGTGGGCTTGCTTCAATTTTCCACAGAGGCACAAGGCTGGTAACACGCCAGGAAGTCAGCAGAGCAGAGAAAATATTTACCTAAATTAGCAGGGGAAGGCCCTCTGGATTTCCAATGTGCCAGCCTGACAAGTTCTAGGCTTTTAAACACCTCAGGTTGAGTGAAGGAAGCAGATCGGTGTGTGTGTGTGTGTGTGTGTGTGTGTGTGTGTGTGATTGTAAATGTTTTCCACACAAAGCCAGTTTTCCTGAATGAGGCCCTTCCTTCTGTTCCAGATCACACAAGCACCTGGAAGAGCCTGACGCAGAGTTATTTTAATTGATGAAAATCCTGGTTTTGTTAGCATCCCACATCTGCAGGTGACTTGGAAACTCAGCTGTGCTTTTACAAGATGCTCCTTTGAAAAGAAGCACTGCAGGCGAAGTCATCAGTGGAGCTCACATTCCATTGGTTGGTTATGTTGTCCCAGAGTCTCTAGGTGTTTCTTTAGTGCAGAGAAAACACATGATCTGCCACTCCTGGGGCACCTGAGGGCATAGTCCAAAACAGCCCTGGCATGAGCAAATTCTCTTTTAAGTCTCTGTTTTTAAGATTGAAAATGTAGGCTAATTTTACATGTTTATTTTTGCATAATATACTATTCATATTTCTTGTCATGCAACAGGAGTTTCATTGTGTTATTCTGTGGTTTCATATCCTTTGTACCTGACCTTGTACCTCCTACATTCCCCATTGTAAGAAACAAAGTAAGGGACAAAATACTGGGCCCAGTACTGGGATTTCATGTGTTTACCTGATTTTGTAGTGTTATGACCTTGGGAACTTGAGTCATTGGAGCTCGAGTGTCTTCCTTTTCTTAAGTAGGGGAGCAGGAGTGTGGAAATGAGATGGGACAGAATTTGAGTAACTTCTAAATTTTCCCTGATACTTGCAGTCTAAGATTCATACTTTGATTTCAGTTATTCTTTTCATGTTTTCTAAGTGTCTGCATGTTTAAGTGAACTAACCATCTGCTGACTATTGGAAATGAGTCCTCCAAACATACTTGAAGAGTCAGAGATCTCAAGGGGATGATATCATTAGACAAACCACATCCCAGGGCCTGACCTGATGATGTTGATGGTCTAAAGAGACCAAAGGAAACAGTAAGTAACTTAAAACAATCATGAATTTTCTGGAAGACTGATGACAGGGCTTCACTCAGTGGAACTGGCTGAAGCTGTCCATGTTTAGTAGTTGGGGAAGAAGCTGGGTAAAAAGGTGTGGAAATGTAATTTTTATTTTGATATAATTTCAGTCTATACAAAATATATACAAACATATTTCCTTCTGAATTTTGAGAATAAGTTAAAGAGTTGCTTTCATGATACCTTTTTCTTCCAGGCACTTAGGATGTATTTCCTATGTGTACCATTCTCTTACTTCATCAGAGTAGGATGCTCAGCATTGGGAAATTCAACATTGATGCACTATTATTATATAATTTACAAGTTACATTAAGAGGTTGACAATTGTTTCATTTATTGGCAGTGTTCTGTTCTGTATGGCAGTTTTATTTTTCATATCCAGAATTCTGTCAGGGATCATATGTAATATTTCTGTGTTGGCTGTTTAGTTTTATTGATTCTTGATCAATTTCTCAATCATTCTCTGACTTGACTTTGATAATTTTGAAAAGTACTGACAAGTTATTGAGATGACACCCCTCGCATTAGGTGCATTCCTCATGAGGGGACTCAGATTATGTATTTTTTTGGTGAAAATACCACATAAGGTGACATCCCCCAGTGCATCTGACCAGGAGACACAAAAAGTTGGTTTGTCCCATTATAGGTGACTATCATTTTTTCACTTGGTTAAGGTGTTTTTTTTTTTTAAAAACAGAAACAAAAGCAACTGATTCTTGAATTAAATGTACTATGTGGGTAAGATTTGCTGATTCCTCTGATTCTGACTTCGCCAGAAGAAACAGCCTCATTGCAACAGTGCCACCTGCTGAAAAAAAGAAACGGTTTTCTGAGTGTTCAAGTCCTGAGACAGGGCTTGTATTTTGATGCCTTCCAAATGTTGCTTAACTTAAGATTAAATCTAAACTATCAAGAGATTGGGTTGGTTAAATAATGAAGACTGGGGTGAAGACTTGAGCATTTCTGCAGGGAACAGTTGGTTGGGAAAGCAGACCTGCGGGGGAGTAACACTGAGTGGCCCTAGGGCTGTCTGAGGAGTTCTCCCCTTGAAAGCACTTTAGGTTTTCACTCTTCATTCAGAGAACAAAGAGTTCAGAGTGTGGTCAGGTGCTATCCTACTAGATAGCATACAATAGCCAACTGGACAAATGGGGGTAGGTAATGCCCAGGGTCTCAACCTCACCGACCCTGCCAGAGCCACCCAACCCAAGATCTCATGGCTTATTTTCCTTTCATCTTTATAATGTGGTTCCTTATAAACTTTAACTTGTTCCAGCATTTGCCTCATTGTTTGTCTGGAAATAATAAGAACTGTTTGTTTCGCTCTATAATTTGAGAGAAAGGCTGGCATTCCCCTTCCACCATGGAAAACTCTGGAATGATCTCTATCATCTTCCAATCATGAGGTCACAGCCTAAAGTGTTTTCTTCAAAGAGATTTTTGATCTTCTCTCTACTAATCAGAAGTTTTATTCTGAAAATCACAGAAGATAAATGGAATGTCCCAGGTTTAACATGTTGTGTTTAAACATCTTGTTTTGTAATATTTCTTAAATTATGGAAGGATATGAGATCTACTGATCACATTCAGATTTGGGCCAAGTTATTTTTCCCTTGTTATTGGTCAATTTGACTAGCAAGGCTCAAAGTTGGTCTAAAAGTGGAGGAGAGGAGGGAATGGGGGGAAGATGACTTTGTTTCCATGGTTAAGAGCTAGAAGAGTTAATGGTGGAACTTGAATGCCAAAAACAATAATAACTGGCAGGATCATCTCATTGAATATGTCTGGTATATAGATGAATTGGGGCAAGGGGAGGTAATTGACTGCTAAGACCACAGCTGGGATTCCAGGCACTGCACTTAACTCAGCAAACACAAACAGGAACCATGACAGGAGAAAGAGCAAATGAGAAGAAGCTGAGAGTCATGCCACATGAAAAGGACCGGAAACTTAGCAAGCATTGAAATTTGGGAAAATATTAAGATAAAGGGGAGCAAGATGGTCCTGTGCAACTATTTATAAGTCTGGTTATGGAGAAAGTTCTGAACATGACTCTTTTTGGACAAAGGCGTAGAATTCGCATGAGTGAACTTAATTTTATGAGAGATAGGTGCAACCTTATCATGAGGAAGTGTCCAAGGATGGTTTGAAATGCTTTGGGGAGTGGAGCGGCAGGAAATGTATGCATGATTAGATTATATGACCTTAATGTTTCATTTACAGTGAGATCCTTTTACTTAAAGATACCATTAGTATGTAATAGATGCCTTGACCCAAACCATGTTCAACATTTTAATCTTTAAAAAATAAGTAAATAAAAGAAATTGGTTAGATTTTTTTCATCCAGATCCAATCCTAGGGTGATGAAGATGATAATTCATTTGTCCTAAAAATTATGCACCATGAGAAAAACATATTTGCAAACAAAATGGAAATCATTTAAGGATAGCACATTGTAAAAAGAATTTGGCACTGAGTAAATGTTTTGCTTCTACCAAATGCTTAGTCTTAATTGCCATGTGATCCAGTTTAATTATTTGGAGAAAAATCCTCTATCTTCATAAATCATTTAGAGTTTATAAAATTAGTCTCTCTGAATTAGCACTTTGAAGCACATAGAAAAATCCAGAAGGAGAAAAACACAATTCATTGTTTCTGAACACATTTTGGTGCTATTAGATTGTATCATATGAAATTGTTATTTGACCATTTTTAATTAAGAGGTTTATTGCAAAATATATAGATCCATATGCAGTTGTGAGGATTAATACAGAAATATCCTTTGTAACATTTACACAGTTGCTCCCAATGGTAACAACATCTTGCAAAACTATAGTATATTTTTGATCTACAAAATGGTGATTTTATATGGTTCAACCTAATATGTTATAGATGGATGCCAAAAACCACAAGTTTGACTGGATTAAGCTATGTGGATATATCCTAAATTCTTAAAGCATTCAAGTAACTTTGACGACATTGAACATGGATCATTACAGTGTAATGCATGTGGGTTTAAGTTGTGGGAGACCAGGGGCTTCAAGGGAGACTAACAGCAGGAGAGCAGGTTTGGTGGTTGGATTTTAAGAACTGGAGAGATCAAGAAAATGGGCATTGGGAAATAGATTGCCGCCCTTGGGTGAAGACACAGAGGTGGCGTAATCACAACTCATAGGTCGAAGAGCAGGAGGGTGAGCAGGCAGAGGAGCTCAGGAAGGTTCCTGGACCAAGTGGGTGGTTCATTTTGTAGGCTGAGAGGGAGATGGGGACATAAGGAAAAGCTAATCAGTGAAGATTCACCCGAGAAAGGAAAATCAAACCCTTCCCCCTTCCCTGAATACAAAGAGAGAATAGTATCGGTAAAATGACTTCATATAAATGCCAAAAGGAGGACGGAGTGCATTTAGAATTCACTGGTTTTCAAGTGTTTTAAAAGTAGTGCAAGCCTTTGTCTTCTTGTTTTTTTTTTTTCAACTTTATATCTCACAAAGAATACAGAAGTATAAGATGGTCAGAGATGGTCTTGTTGAAATGAAGATAAGACCCATCCTTAGCTTCTCCTGCCTCCATGTGACCTCAGTTTTACTTTGAGAAGCCTGGAGTTTCTGCAAATGTATTAGAAAATGAATGAAACCCATGATGGTATGAAATGGCTAACATATCCAGCCCTTAAATCCTGCTTTTATCAGGCTACAAAATTTAATTCTCACATCATTCTGTTGCTTGGCAAATACGCTGAAAGACTGCAAAGGATTTCACTGATTTCAGAGAGACTGAAAGCTGCGGAGTGAACTATAACGTGGACAAGTAGGTCGTCTAATATAATTGCAAATGCAATCGGTCCTATGAGTTCAGAGGGAAATGATCTGGCTCCTGGCACACACACAATAAGGCCCATTTTCTTGTGAGCACAACTTGAGCCAAAAATACAATGGGTTGCCCCAACGCAAATGTACTTTTAGCCGGATGAATAAAGACCTAATATTCAGGTCCAGATACAGGACCAACAGACCGCACCTAGAGCAGCACCTCCGTCTCAAGCCTGGTATCCTGGAAGGACAGAGACAAAGTGAAAAAATGTGTAGATGTGGGGAAACAGACCTTGGGGATGCCACGGACTTGGTTCGTTATAAATATGTGTCTAAGGAAAGAAGAGGGAGAGGAAAATGAAAAGAGGAAAAAAGAGGTGGGAGAGAGGGAAAGAATGAGAAAAGCACATGGAGTAATGACATGTGGTTGTGATTTAGTGATTTTTTTTCATAAATGGAGATGAATAAGCTTAAGAGAAGAGAATCAAATTTGCAAAGGGTTAAGACTATGGAGGATAGGAGAAGCACAAATGACTTGTAATGGCCACACCGCTATAATGTCATTGGGGTACAACCCAAAATTTGTGGTTGTCAAGGTTTAAAGATTTAACTCCTGTCATTACTCCAGATGCTTAAGTAAGAATTCCAATACTCTGAACTCCAGTTCTGTATCCCAACCCCAAATTCCCTTGGGTGTTACACATAGGTGAGAGTTCCAAGATAAATATTTATAGAGCAAAGGACCTTGGAAAACACAATCCATGTTTCCCAAGTGATACTACACAGAATGAACCAATGTTCCTCCTTCCCTTCCTCCCTATTCCCTTCCCCTCCCTTTTTTCTCCCTCCTCTTCTTGCTTTGTTCTTCACCTGTCTCCTTCCTCTCCATCTCTCCCTTCATTCTCACCTCTTTGCCTTCCTTCTTTCAGCACATGGGTATTGAACACCACTCCCGTCCACATATCTCACCATCAGTTCTAGACAGAAGCACATGACCCCTGTCCTGGGGGAGCTCATGAGCAAGTGGGGAATACAGACATCCATCAAACACTCGTCACATAAAGAGTAAGCTGCATTTCCATAACTACTCTAGATGTTGGATATTTAGTCTCAGATCTGTGATGGTCATCACACTCACATGCTTCTTTTTAATCCTGGTGTGAAAACCAACTTCATTTACACATATCTGAAGTTAATCCTGTATGCAGTTCCTACTGACCAATGAAAGAATTTGATCTAATCATTCTTGGATTTAAAAATCAACTGACCTAGGAATTTCTCAGTTCCAATTTCTCACATAACTTACACTTTATCTTTTTCATTTAAAATTCAGGCTTAATCTCTTCCTATTCTTTCTTGGCGGTAAACTAAGATTCTGGTAGGTGAGATACCTGAATACTTTGTCCCAGGTGGGGAGACATGTGGGTCTGGACTCTCTGGGACCACACTGAGCTTTGCTGAGATCTGTTCACAGGGATCCCTCAGGGGGTGTCTTAAATACCAGAGTTACACCCATCTCCATGTACCCTTGAGATTGGTGTCAGTGGTTCTTTTAATTCTGTGGAATTCTCAGAAAACTCCCACTTGAATACATTTTTGAATGTTATTGTTCTTTAATTCACTAAATTCTGCATATATCTTTATTAATTCCTTCCTTTTATTTGACTATCCCCTCTTAAATTATATTTCCATGTCATTTATTTCTTCTTCTTTTTTAATGAAAAACATTTAAGACTATAAATTTTATTGTGAATACAATATTTATATGGCATGCATTCTATTTTATTGTTTTCTAACCATTATTATTTCTGAGGAGATTTTAGTTGAGTTTTTATTTCTTTTATGACCCTTGCATTAATTTGGATATTTTATTATTCAGTTTCTAGAGAGTTAGATTTTATTTTATCATTGATGCTTGTATCAATGTCTATGTTGGTTGCATTAATAAATATGTGCCTGTAAATTTTCTATTTTTAGCAATCCATGAAGAATCTTCATGGAACATTTGTAATTTTATATTTTCATAAATGTTCCATGGATCCTGAAAAAAAGTTTATATTGGGTTTGGTTTGATATTACAAATACATATTAAAAATACATCCACATTTCCTATATATTTTACCTTCCAAATATATCCCAAATATATCTATGATACTTGTTATCATAGACATTATACAATCCAGAACCCTACAATCAGCGCAGGGTATGTCTTGTATGCCTGGCACTTAGGGTTCTTTGGAGCCCTAAGTCAAGAAGGGTAGTTATTAACACTGGCGAGAGTTAAAGCTACATTTCCATTTTACCCCCTTTGCCTTAGCATCCCCGGCCTTCCATGTGAATTTTGCTGTGTTTGGGGGGTGATGGTTCAACAAGGTTACTACTTTTCCTAGGTAATCCTTTGTCTCAAACCCCAACCAAGAGGTAAAATTATTAGAAGGATATTGTTGATATTCCAGATTTC